GCCCCAGAGGGAGCAAGCGGGCAGGTGGGGGGCGATAGAGGCACAGCCCACCACGGAGTGCAGGTCAGCCCCGCGCTAAGCAGCCGCCAGGACGGCAAGGGTGTCCAGAGGCTCTGTCCCCGCCTGCTTCTCACTGCGGGCGTGTCTTCTCGGTTACTGACACGCACATGCTTCTTTTTTTTTCTTAAGAAATATTTATTTATTTGAAGGGCAAAGTTACAGAGAGAGAAAGAGAGAGAGAGAGAGAGAGAGAGAGAGAGAGAGAGAGAGGTCTTCCATCTGCAGGTTCACTCCCCAGATGTCTGCAACGGCCGGAGCTGCACCAATCCAAAGCCAGGAGCCAGGAGCTTCTTCCGGGTCCCCCATGGGGGTGCAGGGGCCCAAGCACTTGGGCCATCCTCCACTGCTTTCCCAGGCCACAGCAGAGAGCTGGATGGGAAGTGGAGCAGCCGGGACTAGAACCGGCGCCCACACAGGATGCCGGCACCGCAGGCGCCAGCCCGCAGGCACACACTCCGTTCATCCTCACAGCCATCCTGCTGTTCTCTTCCTTTGCAGAGGCACAGAGATGCTCAGGCACTTGTCCAAGGTCACAGCTGAGCCAGAGCCTACCCCAGGCCTCCTGGCTGCAGAGTAACCACAGCTCTGCCCCGTCCCAGGGAGGCCCCGAGGGCCACCAGGGCCGGAGGCAGCGGGTTTGCTCACTGCTGGATCCCCAGCGCCAAGCACTGCGCCTCGCATACCACAGCCCCCCCCCCCCCCCCCCCGCGCGCTGCGGCGGGAACAAATGTACGAGCAATGCAAGAACCATCGAGAACCAGCTGCTTCCCAACCGAGCCGGCCAGCGGCCGAGTCCTCTGGCTGAGGTCTGGCGCAGCGGTCGCCTTGAGAGCCCCGCCCCGCGTTTCTCAACAGAGCCCTAGCAAAGGGGGACGGGGCTTCCTACAGGGGGCAGCGCTGGCGCCCTCCACAGCCGCTTCCTCCCGGCAAGACTGGGGAGGCAGGGAGACTGGGCAGCTTCCCGGCCGGGGCCAGCGTGACAGACAGCAGGTGCACAGACCGAGACCGATGCAAGACGATGGGTCTCCCACCGACTCCTCCCTCCCGTCCGTGTCCTGGCTTCCCGGAACCCAGCCTGGGCCCTCCCCCGCTCAGAGCTTCCTGCGCGGCTTTCGCACGGTCCCCTCCCCCGGGGCTCTGTGGGGCTGGGAGCACTGTGTGCGTCAGCCCCTAGGAGTGGAAAATGCCACAGCCGAGGGGATGTCCCGGGGCTCTCGCAGGAGCCCAGCTGGTGCTGGGCGGTGAGCTCAAGTTTAATCAACATCCCTTCCCCCACCACCACCGCCTCTAAACTCACGGATGGCCCAGACACAGCACCATCCCCCGGGGGCCTCCTTCCCTCTGCCATTCCTCTCCCTAGGTGGCTGTGAGGTGACACTAGAGCTGAGCACACGTTCAGTGCTACGCATTGCCTGGGTGCAAATCCTAGCTCCGCTGTGTGACCTTGGGCTAGTCGCTCAACCACTCTGAGCCTTGGCCTCACCTCATGCGTCTCTGTGCTCAGCCAGCCTGGCTCTGGAAGGGCCCTGCCGTACCCAGCTGTTGCTACGCCAATGCTGAACAGTGGCTGCTAACCTGCCAGACCAATTCCTCTCCCTTCCAAGGCCGAGCCTCCACCGACCGTTCCCAGAACCTGCTAGGCCAGGTCGCAGCCCCTGGCACGAGGGATGCTTCCAACCGAGGTGGCTCGGAGGGGAACAGCAGGAGGAAGAACCCAGCCCAACTCGGGGCACACTGGGGGCCTCCCAGGAGCGGGGTGCCCAGGTAGGGTCCTAAAGGAGTCTGGGAGTGTGGGCAGGTACACAGCAAATGAGGCAGGTGTGGCTCCTGCTCTCAGAGCCACCCCCACCCCCAGCCTCCGGAGTGAAACACACAGAGTCCCTGCTCAGCCACGTGCCACGGGCACCTAGAGCCATGGACGACCAGAGCTAGGGGAGCCTCTGGGGGCCGGCACTGTGGTGCAGTGGGATGAACTGCTCCCCCCGCCGATGCCGGCATCCCACAGGAGGTTCACCCCCAAAGTGGCCGCTACAGCCGGCGCCTGCGCTGATCCGAAGCCAGGAGCCAGGTGCTTCCTCCTGGTCTCCCATGCGGGTGCAGGGCCCAAGCACTTGGGCCATCCTCCACTGCCCTCCCGGGCCACAGCAGAGAGCTGGACTGGAAGAGGGGCAACCGGGACTAGAACCTGGCACCCATATGGGATGCCGGAGCCGCAGGCGGAGGATTAACCAAGTGAGCCACGGCGCTGGCCCTTTTCCTCTTTCTTAATTGGCTGACAGGAAATCTGGAGTAGAATTTTGCTAGGTTTTTTATTTTTATTTTCATTTTTTTGCATTAGTGTAAACGTCTTCTATGCAGCTTTTTCTTATTTATTTATTTACCTGGCAGAAAACAAGAGAGGGGTTTCCTATCTGCTGGCTAACCCCCCAAACACCCACACCAGCCACAGTTGGACCAGGCTGAAACCAGGAGCCAGGAACTCCATCTGGGCCTCCCCCGTGGGTGGCGGGCACCCAACTACTGGGGGCATCACTGCTGCCTCCCGGGGCGCCCATTAGCAGGGAGCGGGCAGCAGGAGGAGAGCTGCTGGGACTTGAAACCAGGCCCCCCAATGGGTGGCATAGGTGTCCCCCCTGGTGTCTTTATTAATTTGAAAGATGGAGTGGGGCCGGCGCCATGGCTCACTTGGTTAATCCTCTGCCTGTGGCGCCGGCATCCCATATGGGCGCCAGGTTCTAGTCCTGGTTGCTCCTCTTCCAGTCCAGCTCTCTGCTGTGGCCCGGGAGGGCAGTGGAGGATGGCCCAAGTGCTTGGGCCCTGTACCTGCATGGGAGACTAGGAGAAGCACCCGGCTCCTGGCTTTGGATCGGCACAGCGCCGGCCGTAGCGGCCATTTGGGGGGTGAATCAATGGAAGGAAGACCTTTCTCTCTGTCTCTCTCTCTCACTGTGTAACTCTGTCAAATAAATAAATAAAAAAAAAAAAGGAAGGAAGGAAGGAAGGAAGGAGGAAGGAAGCAGGGAGGGAGGTGGAGTGAGAGAGAGAGGGAGAGACAGAGTACCTCCCATCCACCGGTTCATTCCCCGGATGCCTGGCTGGGCCAGGCTGCAGTCTCCCACGTGCCTGGCAGCGGGGGAGCCCAGGCCCTTGGGCCACTTCTGCTTCCTCCTGTGCTGCATTAACCCGAGCCGTCAGGACTGGAGCCTGCGCCACCGTACAGATGCCAGCGGCACCCGCTGTGGCTTCCCCTGTGCCGCACGCTGCCAACGGCTCCCAAGCAGGCTCCTACTTTCTGCACCCAATGCCCACTCCCCACACGGCCTGTTCTACGCAAAGCCCCCAGAGCTCTGGAGCCCAAGGGACCTGAGTTCGGATCCTGGGTCCGCTGAAGCATCAGGGCATGTCCTGCCCTCGGTTTCCTAACCAGCAAACGTGTGCCGTGCGGGTCATTGGCAGGTGGCAAGAGATGAGGTTTGGGAGGCTCGGGGATGGCACACTTGTCACGTGCTTCTGGGTCTTTTCTCCTGTCCTAAGGGGAAGCACGGCGCTGGGTTACCCATCAAAGGCTTGGACCTACGGCTACCACCGTTTGCCTGGCACACGTGGGCACCCGAAGTCGCTCAGAGCAGAAGCTGAGAGGTGGGGACAGCAGAAACCCAGGGGACGGGGAGGGTCAGGGACGCGATCCAGTTCAACAAAGGAAACATGAGCGGCAGGCGGGCCCCCAGCTCTCCTCCCCTCCCTCCTATCCTGCAGCTCTGCCCGGCTGCCTCCTGCTGCCTGCTCTGCCCATGGCTCCCGGGGGCCCCGGGCTGCACCTGGCCCCCAGCTGGCACCCTTCTCCCTCCTGCAACCCGACCCGGGCGAGCCGGTGCCTCCTTCACCCCTCACCCCTGCCAGCTGCTCCCTCCCTGTCCCCTCTCCCCTGGCTCCTTCCAGCTCAGCTCTCCTGCCAGACGAGGAGGGGGACAGCTGGGCTCTGTGGGCTCACCTGCTCAGAGCCCCTCTCCGCCTCCCAGCCTGGAAATTCAGGGCCGGGAAGAGTAGGTGATGCCGCCCAGGCAGACTGGGGGCTGCCTATGGAGCACAGCATTGCAGAAGCTAAAGCTGCACACAAGCTTGGCCAGAAGGAGGGCTGTGATTGATTAGCGATGTCTGCCATGCAGGGTTGCAATCAATTAGCAATGTCTGCCATGAGTGCAGCTTTATAATGGCTGGATGTTGCCGCTCATGATCTAGTCCAACATTTTTTTTTCTTCCCACCAAGGACACAGCAGAAAATATCCCACATCAAGTGCAGTATTTCCCCACGTGGATTCGGGAGGTGCAGACGTGGAATGGTGTCGGGCGGCCCCTGCACACATAATACAGGAAACTCGGCTCCCGCTCGTGAACTCCCAAGGTGGAGGTTTCCGGACTTCCCAACACCTGTCAATCCCCCCTCCCAGAGGTAACAGATTTCCAGTAGGCAAAGCATTTAAACATCATTTTTGTTTTATTGTACTCGCTTTTTACAGTCATTTTGTATTTATAGGGAAAATCGGTTTTCCATTTACAGAAGCAATACAAAGATTTCCTTTTAAATAAATTTATTTAGACAAAACAGTGCATCGGTATTCAGAAAATAATAAAGATGAGACACACGGACCATTAAAAGCCGTACATAATACAATGGCCGAGCCTGGGGAAACCCAAACCCCCCCCCCCCCCCCCCCCCCCGCCCCGGAACTCTTCAGAGTGGAAAAAGCCAACGCTACTTCTTCACTGGGACATGGAAAAGACTTGCTGAGAAGTTTGCCTCCGGACACACAGCAAGGGTGTGAGCAGGGCTCGGGGCTGACCGCAGGCTGGGGCTTGCAGGGCAGGTGTTGGGAGGACGCCGGCGGGACAGCCCGGTGAGTGAGCTCTTTCCTGGGTAAGGACGCGAGACCCGGGCAACCTCAAGAAAGCAGCGTTTTTTCCGGACGGACAGGCAGCAGGGCCCTCACCCGAAGCGCCGTAACCGTCCTCGGCTAAGTAGCAGTTTCTGGATCAGGAGCCCGAAGCCCCCGGCTCCCCAGGCTCATCGCCCGCCTACCCTCTCGGGGCCCCAGTCCCAAGCACCTGCTCCAGGGCCCGGCTCCCTGCGGCCCAACACGCAAGACTGAGGAAGAATCTGATTGGCTAGATCAGGCCAGCCTCCCTGATTGGACAGAGCTACTGCTCCAAGCCACCTCATTGGCTGCGGAAGAACCTATAAGAGGGCTCGTGGCCAGGGGTCCAATCAGCTGTGAGCAGGGCCTGTAAGTGCAGGGTGAGCGGCGGCCGCTCAGTTAGGTGGGATTGGGTCGCTCTCCTGCTGGGGCGGAAGGCTGGGACAGCCGCCATGGTGTGACCGTGCGTGTCTAGGCCGGGCCGAGAGAAGTCGGACGGCTACTGCGAGCCCTGAGAAGGAGGGGGCCAGCTGTGTGGGAGGGGGAGACTGCAGGTGCAGGGGTGCTGGAACTAGTGGGCGTGTCCTCCGCCCCCGCAAGAGGGGCCGCCCAGGGAAGGAAGCCCCGGCCGGGAGCCCAGGCGAGGTGGGGCCGGAGAGTCCGTTATTTCATCCAAGGATCCGAGGGGGCGCTGGGCACTGCCAGGGCAGTGAGAAGACAGCGAAGGCCCTGCCCCCCATACTTCCTTTCTGGATGCTTCCTGCCCTGGAGGATGCTGGGGGAGGGACCCGCCTGGGGGGCCCCTTGGCCGCAGCATCTGGGCCTGCTCCTAGGGGGACGCTGCTGCCTGGGCTGCTCGGACCCTGGGGTTCGCTCTCCAGTGGCCTCGCTGTGAGTCCGCGAAGCCGCCGTGGAAAGACCCCGCGGGCATCTGCTTTGTGGGGTGTTGTCCAGGCTTGGGCCCCCTATGAAGGCTGCAGAGAAAGCCCAAGGGAGACGGGGCGGGGCCTCTTCCTGCAACCACCCCATGGCCCCAGGAGCTCCTCCTGCCGGCACCCAGCCTGGAAGCCTTGGTGCACTGGAGGGAGAGGGTCCCCGAGGGACAGCAGCACAGGCCCCAAAGGCTGAGGGATGTGTCGCCTGGACGCGGCAGGGTGGCAGGTGCCAAGGTGTGTGGCGTGAGGGAGCTCCAAGTGGTGTGGCTGGGCCAGGACGTGCCGCGGAGGGCCATGGGGAGCCACGGCAGGCTTCGGATGGGGGCAGGAGCGTGGCCGTGTCTGCTTTGGAAAGCACGCTCCGGCTGCCCCGTGGTGTCAGCGTGGGGCAGGAAGCCCCCTGGGCGACCCAGGACTGAGGCTGGCACGCAGCTGGGGGGCTGCGGAGGAGACAGAAGTTGTGGGACCCCATGATGGAGCAGGGAGGGGCTCCGGAGCGCCTGGCTTGGGGTAGGCAGGGCCGGGCAGCAGCATGAGGCCAGGGAGGGGCAGGCCGAGCAGGCGGCACTGGGTGGGGCCGCCTACAGGGACGCGTGTGTCCTCGGCAGCCCGGTCTACACTACGTGAGCTGGGTCCTGATCCGGGAGATCTTGGAGGGTCAGGTAGACGTCGGTGTTCAAGGCCGGACATGAGGTGAGAGCCCTGGTCTGGTCCTGCCCGGGAGGGCTCACCCAGGAGGACGCGGCCCCCTGCTCAGGGCTGGGGGCAGGGACTCCCTCCCCAGCCTCTCCCTGCGCCAGCTCCAGGGGTGGCTGGACACTCACTGGTGGGGGGACACCGGGGCCGGGGGGACCCACGGTGGGGGGAGCCCAGTCTTCAAGGAGCCCCTCCCGCAGGGAGGGTGGCCGCTTCTCTTCCCAGGCCCTGCTGCCCCCAAGGGCAGGGTGTGGGGGGCTTGGGCCACCCGGCAGAGCGGGGCAGAAGGGCAGCAGCTCGTCCCCCGGGGGCAGGGTGCAGTAGGCGTCGTCGTCCCCGGAAACAGGGCACAGCAGCGGAAGGGGAGCGCCCGCGGGTGCAGGGGCGCCGGGTGCCGCCGCCTCGGGCTCCTGCTCGCAGGGGTCGTAGGTGAAGTACACCTGGCAGGCCTCGATCTCCAGGGCGTCCAGGAGGTGGAGGAAGAAGTAGCCCTGGTTGGTGAAGCAGCTGGCTGTGGGCGGTGGGGGCGGGGCGCCCTTGTGCTGCAGGAGCAGCGGGGCGGCCTTGGCGTCCCTGTCCAGCACTTCCAGGGGGGAGATCTCAGGCACCGGACCCCCGGGGCTGAAGGCGGAGGAGGGGAAGGGCGACGAGAGCCATTTCTGCGGGACAAAGGCCAGAGCGGGGTGAGTGCCGACCCTGGGAAGCCCGCCCAGGGCTGCCCTCTCCGGGAAGCCCGCCCTGACTGTGTGCGCCCCTGGCTAAGGGACTCTCTGGGAGTGAGCCTGACTCACAGCCCCAGGAGGTGCTGGCTGGCTCAAGCTCGCTGTTCCCCAGGCACCTGCTGAGGGCCTGGCGCTGTCCCAGGTGTGGGGACACAGCAAAGGACAAGAGTGTCCCAGCGTGCGCCAGCGCCAGTCAAGGCCAAAGCAGAGCCGTCCTCAGCGGCACAGCTCGCCCACTTCCCCGCTGCGCTGAGGGGTCACGGCCAGGGCCGGGTCACAGAGCTGGGACGTAGACATCTCCGGCGGGGCATGCCTCGCAGCCCCCACCCCTGCCTCCCGCGCTGCCCTCAGCCGAGAGAAGAGCACGCCCACAGTTGCTCGGGAGCCTGGCGAGGAGGGGCGCGGGGCGCAGGTGCCTTCCCTGGGACCTTGGCACCCAGCGGCAGTGTGACCCGGGCAGCCCAGGGGCTGGAGCTCTCTGACTTCCTGGCAGGGACCTTGGGTGGGGCAGGAGCCCACCAGCCCTGTCCCGGGAGCCCTCAGCAGGTGGCCCGCGGCCCCCACCCCCAGGGCCCACGCTGCAGGTCGCACGTGAGCTCAGGAACAAGCGGAGAAACACCGGGTTTGAGGGTTTGAGTCCGTGAGACGGAGCCGGCCATCACACACGCACACGTACACACGCACCCCACTCGGTGGAGCCCGCCCCCTACTCAGGCCGGAGAAAGGCTGAGGGCCCGATCAAGAGGGCAAAGTGAGGATGGAAGAGGGGGGCACTGAGCTGGGGGCGGGGGCAGAGCAGGTGCAGGGCCCCGAAGTCGGTGACAGCAGAAACAGCGGCAGAGGGCAGGGCCCGGCAGCCCCGAGCAGCCACCAGGAGGGAAGCGGCCAGGCTGTGGCTGGCGCTGGTGTGCACCGGGCCCCGGGCAGGGTGTGGTCAGCCACTTCCTGGGCCGCAGCCTCTGCCCACAAGGCCCTGAAGCAGGGTCCAGGGCAAGCTGTCCCCTGCACGCAGGCACAGTGCACGCACATGCTGCACGCACACTACCCGGTCACTCCCAGATGCCCCGGGGCACAGGGGTGGAGGGGTACGAGCAGGCCCCTTGCCCATGTACGCAGTGGGGGGTTCCAGACTCCAGTCACATGGTGCCTCCCCAGGGGCCCCTCCAGAGCCCCCGACACACACACTAGGCCCAGGGCAGGAATGTAGGCTGGAAGGTCTCACGGTTTGCTTGGATGCCTCTGCTGATGGGGATCTCACTACCTCCCAAGCTGAGGGAGGAGACACATTCCCCACACCAGGAGTATAGGGAGGGCAGCCCCAGCCTCGGGAGTCCCCGAAGAATTGCGGACAGGGCCCCAGCAGCCATGAGCCCACGCAGTCGGGGAAGGCAGGGGGAAGCAGCCCCCACAGCCCTCTTCCCACTGGACGCTTCCTTCCAGAAGTGGGCATGAGCTGGGGGCGGGGACACGGCTGGGCCCAAGGTGGGCTCGCAGCACCACTACCCTCAGAGCCCCTCTGTGGGCGGGGCCTCAGCTCGCCTGGATGACTGGCCGCCGTCTGTGCTGTGCTAAGCCATGGGGCCGCCCGGGGAAGGGGTGCAGGGGCAGGGCAGCACTGCCCGCCCCCTCCCCAGCAGGTGCGCAGGCAGTGGGTGGGGAGAACCCGTCCTGCAGCAGCGTGTCCTGCTCGGTCCCTCCGCTGGCTTCGAGGGCAGTGCCGGGCCCGAGCCCAGCCCAGACGCTGCTCCCGCATGGCCTCGGTGCCGCCCCCCCGCCCCGCCAGCTGCCCCCTCCTGGCGCCCACCTGGAAGTCGCCTCCGTGCTCGGAGCTCAGCTGGGGGAAGAACTGCGAGGGGTCCGGGATGTGGTACTTAAGCGCCTTCTTGAGCCTGGGTGGAGGAGCGGGGAAGGCGTGAGAACCCGAAGCGGCCTCTGTGCTAGGCTCAGCCCACAGCTCTGCGGGCCACGGGCACACGGCGTGGCCAGGGAGATGCCCTGGCTCTCGGGGAGCAGGCGTTAGCTTTTAAGATTTTATTTGTGAGACAGAGAGAGACTCTTCCATCTTCCTCCCCAGAAGCCGGGCCTCGGTCAGAGCCAAAGCCGGAAGCTGGGGACGCCACCCAGGCCTCGCAGGTGTGGGCAGGGATCCGGTCGGGTCCTCCCAGGGCGCACAGCAACAGGAAGCTGGGATCGAGAGTGGAGCCAGGGCTTGAAGCCGGGCCCTCCGGGGGGGGGGGGGGGACGCAGGTGTCCCCACCAGCGTCTTAACCACTGCGCCACACACCCACCGCTCGGGGCGCTCACATGTGACGGGGGAGACAGACACACACAGTGTGCAATATTACCATCCCTTCCTTGGAGACAAAAAGCAGAGGGCTAAGAGAGCGAGGCAGGGGTAACAGGAAAGGAGATGGGGGAGAGGAGGATGTGGTCTGGGGTGGACGTGGCTGGAGAAGAGTGAACCAGAAGCAAGGAGGTAGCAGAGAGGCCTCCTAGGGCTGCCACGGATGGTGGTTCAGGATGTGCACTGCTCAAGGGCATCTGGCCTTGGGGGAACAGTGAGTGGGGGCTGAACCCCAGTCAAGCTGAGAGCCTGGACAGAGGGGCATCACTTTCTGATTTGCTCCAAGGAGGAAGCCCCACAGGACCAGGAGTTCACGCCCGGTGCTGAGGGCATCATGGGAAGAGTGCCGGCAGGAGGGAGCAGCTGCAAGATTGACACCAAGGAGGGCGGGCAGGTGAGGGGCCCCCCGCGTGGGAGCCAGGGCAGCCAGCCGGAGCGGCTTGAGGCTCTGCAGCCCTCGGGAGCACCCCGCAGGGAGGGAGGGGGCGGTGCGTGGGGAGGAGCCTCCGCCCGAGCCTTGCTGCTCCCGGGCTGTGCGGCGTGGGCAGGTGGGCCAACTGCTCAGGCCCACCTGGCCTCACTCGCAGGGTAAAACGCCCTACGCCTGTGGAGACCACCACGGCCACGGCCAGCAGGCGGCCGGCTGCCCCACTGGCCGTCTCCCCGCCCCCCCTCCCAGCCTCTCTGCTTCCTCTTCCCAGAACGCCCTGCTCCTTCCTGCCCAGGGCCTTTGCACACACCCCTCCCTTCTTACCATAGCATGATGGTGCGGTAGTGGACCAGCGAGTAGACTATGAAGAATAAACCCAAGGCGCCACAGACGCCCAGGATGGCGTGGACCAACCAAGACAGGGGCGGGGCCTCCTGCCGGGTACTGCCGGCTGGGAGGAGAAGCAGGGTGGGGGTTAGAGGGACCCCCCCTGCCACGCCCTGGGCCTAGGGGTGTGCCGTCTGCCCACGCCCACCCTCTCTGGGAAGCCACCCACAAGGCTGGAAAGAGAGGAGCGGCGGCGTCAGCAGCCGGGCCAGGCCGCCCAGCCGCCTGCCCGCCGCCCTCCACTGCCTCTGAGTTCCTCCCAGAGACCCCGCCCCGTCTCCCCTGAGCAGGAAGCGGCTGTGTGAAGACAGGCGAGGTGGCCTCACCAGAGCCCGCTCAGCCGGCGCCGGCCTCAGTGCAGGTGCCCGGTCCCCCGCAGGAAGCAGGGATTTGGGGCTCCGGGTGGACGAAGTGAAAAGACCCTTTCCTCCCCGCTCCCACTAACTCCAGGGCCAAGAGCAAATCCTTCCCCTCACTGATCCCATCTGCAAAGTGGGTCTGCCCAGAGGGTCGCACAAGTGAGCCAAGGGTGGTGCATGGAGAGGGCGGAGCTGGCCGCCGGGGCCACCAACCCCCGCCCCGCCCACCACACAGAGCCACGCCTCCACCCCGCTCACTGTTCCCAGAACCACGCCCCGCCCCGCCCCTGCTGCCCGCCAGTACCTTCGGGCTTTGTCCTGAAAGCGAGGGTCGCGCTCCAGGGGCTCCACGCCTTGCTGTTGTCGCGCTGGGCCCTGACCCGCACCTGCAGCTCGTACTGGGTGTCGGGGCGGAGGGTCTCCAGGCAAACCCACTGCTGCCTCTGCTTGATGCTCAGCAGGGGAACGTCCTGGGACCAAGACGGGGGGGGGGGGGGGGGGGGCGGTCAGCGTGAGCCGTCTCCACCCCGCCTCCCCGGCCACGCTCTCCGCCCTCCCCTGCTACCCAAAGGCCCCCTGACTGCCTGCAGACCCATCCCCTGGGGTCTCAGCGGCGGCCACCGTGCACGCCGGGGGCCGGTCACCCAGCCTCCCCGGGCACCTGCTTTCGCGTGGGCTCCCTCCCAACCCCAGCACACAGCCACGTCCTGCGGGCCCGGGCTGGCTCTGTGTGTGGAAAACCCTGGCCGCGTTGCAGGCTCAGGAGGCGGCGTCTGGCCGGGTGAGTTTGCTGAGCGCAGGACCCCTGCTGGCTCACCCCACGCTGTCTCCCCAGCGGCACCTGGTAGGCGCTCTAGGTGACCGACTGACTGGCGGGAATGAGGAAGTGAGTGAAGAGGCGACAGCCCCCTGGGGTCACGGGAAGGCGGCTTCCCAGGCCTCTAGGAGGTTCCGGGGCCATGGGGATCTTTCCCCGGGATCCGCCGCAGCTGAGTCTGGGGAGGGGAGGCAGCGCCAGGCGGCCCAGCGTCCCCCTGTGCTTGGGCAGGTGTGACTTTACGGAGGACAGGGAGGGAAGAAGCTAGGCACTCACCTCCCAGCGGTCGCCTGCTGGCCGCGTCCGGACCACGAACTCCAAGTCGCGCTCGATGTAGTGGGAGACCGGGAACACCTCCCAGCTGATGTTGCAGCGCCGGGAGTCCACGTGGGTGACCTGGAGGGAGCTGGGGGCCACCAGGCGGACTGGAGCCAGAGAGAGAAGGTGAGAGCCAGCAGGCGCGAGATAGCCATGCCCACCCCGTCCGTCCTCCAGGTCTATGCAAACATCACCTCCTCCAGGAAGCCTTCCCTGACTAGGAGCCTCCGTTTTGGGGTCTTTACTCATTTGCTGTCTCCCTGGCCCGGCTGTGAGCTCGCTGAGAGCAGACTGCCATCTTGAACTTGAACCAACAACTACTGACCAGAGGGGCGGGGTGGCCTTCTCGGCACTTGGACTTGACCGTGGGCTTTACCTGGATCACCTCACTGATTCTAAGTGTGAGGAGCAGAACGGCTTCTGGCTCTGAACTTCAATCAGTCCCAGTTTCTAGGACCCTGCGAGTCGATGCAGCCCCACAGACAGCTGGTGCGTGTGGGGCTGCGGCCACATCCTCCGTGACTTCGGTGCCTTGGCTCGTGGCACCTCCCAATAGCCCTGTGCCAGCGGCAGCCCTGCATCCCCACTTCCCAGATGAGCAAACCGAGGCTCTGGTGTGTTGCAAGGGCCTGCCAGTCAGGACGTCCAGGTAAGGTACGGCTATGCTCTGAGCCCTGCCTGGGTCTCCCCTCCACCCCACCTCTTGGCCCCCAAGGGGGAGGGAGGGAAAGGCGGAGCCAGGCACTCAGTCATTCAACAAACTCCCAGAGTGTTATCCAGATCAGCACTGGAAGGAGACATGGGCGGCAAAGGCACCCGGCCCCGCCTCCCCACTGCCTGACCCCGCCTCCCCGCCGACCGGCCCTGCCTCCCTGCCACCCAGCCCCGCCTCCCTGCCGCCACGGCCCCGCCTCCCTGTCACCTGGCCCCGCCTCCAGGCCCCGCCTCCCCGCCACCGTGGGCCACTCACGGTTGCTGAAGGGCTTGAAGTCCTGAGTCTTCACCACCCGCCTGGGCTCCCCGGCCCCGCACAGCACGCTCATATTCACAGTGTCGGCTGAGGTCAGGCTCTGCGACTGCGAGGCAAGGCGGGCAGGCGCTGGGGCGGGGCGGCCTCACCAGCGCCCCTCGGGCTCCCCTCCATCCAAGGCAGGGGCGGCATTTGCTGCCCGGGGCCAGGGAGGAACTATTTCCGGCTTTGCAAGCCACGTGGTCTCTGCCACAACCCCTCAAGTCTGCCGTGGCTGCGCGAAGCAGCCAGAGACACGCCCAACAGCAGGGCCAGGTTTCAATAAAGCTTTATTTACAAACACAGGCAGCAGCTTGCCTTTGGCCCTTCACCAACCCCCGGTCTGAAGAGAAGTGGGCCGCGTGGGAAGGGAGGGAGCTCCCCGCCACGAGAGGTAAGCAAGCTCCCCGACAAGGACAAGGTGCAGGTCCTGACGAGCCCACACGAGGTGCTCAGTGGCCTCCAGTGCGAAGCACTCCCCTGTCCTCTCCCCTGCACCCCGAGCTTTCTGGAAGTAATGGCCGGGAGGTGAGCGTCCCCCGGGCAGCCACGCTGGTGCCTGAGACCCGGTTCCCACGCCGCAGGGGAGAAGCCCGAGGTCACCCGCTGGGTGACCGCAGGGCAGCTCTGCGGAGGGAGCGCAGCTCTGCAGCCTGCCCACCGTGCCTGGGACCGGGACAGGTGACCGGGTCTCATCCTGTGCCGGCCGCAGCCCTGCGGGAGGCAGCTCCGTCACAGGCCTTGCCTGAAGCCACACAGCGGAGCCAGGAGGGGGAGCCAGGCCGCCTGCTTGTCCCCCGCCCCCTGGCTGTGCGTGACCTGGCGATGGCCGGGCAGAGCTTTGGGGGCACTGACTGGGTGCACACACCCGTGCGGCCTGCACAGACAGCCTAGGGGAAGAGGGAAGGGCCGGCGTCAGTCCCAGCTCGGCAGCCCCTCGGCTGTGCAGGCTTCGGCAGGGCCCACGCCCCTCTGAACCTGCTTCCTATGGGTCAGGGAGGGGACAGGGCTGGGGCCCCCGCTGACAGCAGAGTCAGGGGCAGGTGCCGGTCCAAGTCCTTCGGCCTCAGGATAGCCCTCCAGCCTAGGGGCCATTGTTATCCCCATTTCACAGAAGGGCAAAGTGGGGCCCAGGGTCTCCCGGCAGGTGGAGCCAGGCCTGGAAAACCAAGCTCCAGAGCCTGCATGGCCCGGCACCGCCGAGACCTCAGACAGGCCAGACAGGGCGTTCTGAGGATGCCCTCACCCCCGATAAGGACCCACGGAGCAGGGGCCGTCAGCTGGAGCAGGGGCCGTGCACGCGGGGAGCCCCCGTCCCCGGGTCAGGCCGGCGTCCTCGGCTTCGGGTGCTGCCTTCCTTCCCTCCACCTCCTCCCCAGCCCGGGCAGCCTGCTCGGGGCTGGCTGGGCGCTGCCCAAGGCTCAGCCTCCACCGCCCTCTGCTGCCCCATGGGTTGCCTACCTTTGGGGCTCCAAGGACAAGGTCACAGACCCAGGCCGCCTGCCTCACCTGGATCAGCTCGCAGGTTTTAGTCCAGGACCTTTCAAGGTAAAAGAACTCCCTTAGAAGACAAGAAGAGGGGCTGGTGCTATGGCGTAGCGGGTAAAGCCGCCGCCTGCAGTGCTGGCATCCCATATGGGCACCGGTTCAAGTCCCGGCTGCTCCACTTCTGATCCAGCTCTCTACGTGGCCTGGGAAAACAGAAGATAGCCCAAGGCCTTGGGCCCCTGCACCCATGTGGGAGACCCGGAAGAAGCTCCTGGCTCCTGGCTTCAGATCAGCGCAGCTCTGGCCATTGCGGCCATCTGGGGAGTGAACCAGTGGTTGGAAGACCTCTCTCTCTCTCTCTCTCTCTCTCTCTCTCTGTGTGTGTGTGTGTCTCTGCCTCTGCCTCTGCCTCTCTGTAACTCTGCCTTTCAAATAATAAATAAATAAATACATCTTTAAAAAAAAAAAAAGACCAGGAGAGACCCCCACCCCAGCAAGAGCCCAGGGGCCCCACTCCCTGAGGGCCCCCGCCACCCCCCACATTCCTCCCTAAGGAGCACCCTTGCTGCCCTCCCCATCCTGGCCAGCCCTGGGGGCAGCCAGGGTGACACTAGAAACATGACAAGGTCAAGATGGGGGTTCCCCTCGCCCTAAAACCCTGCCAAAGCCCCCCAGGGCTTAGGCTGAAGCCCCTCCTCAACTGAGCCCTGGAGGAGCTCCTCCCCCAAGAGCCACAGCCCCAAGCCACCTCAGCCCCCTCCTCCCCACTGCCCCAGCCGGCTCAGAGCCGGGCCCACCTGGATGTCTGTCCCCTGTCCCCACAGCTGCCCCAGGGGCCTCCCCAAATCCCAGATCACTCACAAAGCCTGGAGAGCCCCCTTTCGGCCCCCTGGTCCCCAAGGCGGAGCCCTGCCCTGCCACAACAGGCTCATGCCCAGTGTCCCCAGGCAGTGTCCTCCACTGCCCTCGGACCAGCACGCGGGGTGCTGAGTGCCAGCTTCCATAAGGACGGACCCCAGGGTCTCATATTTAGGGTCCAGGAGCCTCAGAGCGGGCGGGGCTGTGCGGGCCACACTCACCGCAGGTAAGGCCGGGCATGGATGTGGCAGGATGTGCCGGGCAAGCTGCCCTCCTGGGTCCACTCACAGGAGATGTTGGCTTTGGAGTTGTAGAAGCAGGTGAGCTGGCCAGGGTCTGCGGGCGAGGCAAGGCGAGGAGAGGTGTGAGGGGCCGGCTGCAGGGGGCCAGCGCCCACCAGCCCTGCTCCAGGGGAGGAAGGAGGCAGGCCACTCTGACATGCAAGGCAGGGATTGGTGGACCCATTTCAAAGAGGGGGAAACTGAGTCTCAGAGCCTGTAAGGTCCAAGCAGGCCACGGCAGGGCAGGGAAAACAGGAAACAGGGTTCTCCTGTGGCGTGGAGAGACCCGCATGTGCAGTGGGGGCAGAGCAAGTGCGGGTCTGATCCCTCGTCCCCCACCCCTGCAAGGAAACGGGGAAAGCGTCACTGTCCAGACGCTGGGGTCCTCACCTCTCTCTGCCGTAGATACAGGGGGGGTTGCCAGCAGCAGGAGGAACATGAGGGGCAGGCACCAGGGCAGGGCAGGGGCCGCCATCACTTCCATGGGATAGAGCTGGGGACAGGAGCCCTGGAGGGAGGAAGAGGAGGAGACTGCTCACGGAGACACCCACCCAGGCCCTGCCTGCTGCACCGGCAGTCTGGGCCCGCCCCTCTGCTCCCCACCATGCCAACACAGCCCAGCCTCTGGGCCTTTGCACCTGCTAGTCCTGTTCACTGCCCTCCTTCAAGGCTCTGCTCCAGCGCCACTTCCGCTGGCCAGATCATGTACAAAGCACCCCTGGCTCCCCATCCCCAAACCATGCATCACAGCATGCTTTGTTTGTTTGTTTACAGTAACCCCTTCTGTGTAGGGGATCATCCCAAGACCCCCAGAGGGAGCCTGCCACTGAGACTTGCGCCCTGCCCTGTGCAGACCGTGCTGTTTCCCGTACACACATGTCTGCGATAAAGTTTAATCCCTAAGTGAGGCCCAGTGAAAGACAAGCAGAAATAACAAATAATGAAGTAGAAGGATCATATACTTGGGGCCGGCGCTGTGGTGTAGTGGGTAAAGCTGCTGCCTGCAGTGCCGGTATCCCATATGGGCGCCGGTTTGAGTCCCGGCTGCTCCACTTCCCATCCAGCTCTCTACTGTAGCCTGGGAAAGCAGTGGAAGATGGCCCAAGTCCCTGGGCCCCTGCACCCGTGTGTGATACATGAGAGGGGCTCCTGGCTTTTGGCTTCAGATGGACGCAACTCTGGCCATTGCGGACAATTGGGGAGAGATGATGCGACGCCTCCCCTAGGGGGTGATGCCAGCTGCAGGACACAGGCGTGGGACTTAGCTTCAGGCACGGCTGCCGAGTGGACGCAGCGTGGACAGGCTGCGTGAGGGGTGGTGGACATCCCAGTCGGGACGGAGCAGGATGCAGAGGGCTCCACCATGCTGCCGGGGTCAGCGCATCATTTAAAACTTAGAAACTGTTTATTCTGCTCTCTTCCAGTTAATATTTCCCAACCACAGTTAATGACAGGTGGCAACACCTTGGAAATTGAGGCCACATATAAGGGGGGGACGTTGCCTCTGCCTACCCATTCTGTCTTCACATGCACACGCTCGCGCGCACGCGCGTGCAGGGCCGGCTGAGCTCGGGCAGGGCAGGCAGTCTTGCCTTACTCATTTGGCCCACGGCGGGCATCAGGCACAAACCCACGAATCACTGAATGAACAGCCGGCCAGAGCTGACGCCAGGGGCTGGGGGCTTCTCCCACCTGCGGGAGGTCCAACGAGACCCGCGCTCAGAAGTGGGGGCTGCCCAGCAGCCCCAAGCGCCCTGGACAACGGGGGTGCCCGCTGCTCTGCGGCTCTGAGAGCAGCCGAGGGCCCACCTGGAAGGCGAGCTTGTGCCAAACCCCCACTGCCTGGGAGGGAAGGGAGCCCTGTGCCCCTGGGCCACCCCCGCGTCTCCAGGACAGATCCCGCACAGGCGGGGCGGGGGAGTCAGGTAGGAGGATGCGCCCCCTCCCTCAGGGAGGCTGGAGGACCCCAGCGGAACGTGGGGCACGCCCTTGTGGTGGGGAGAGACAGGGATCAGACCAGCAAAGCCACAGGGCGCTGAGCCCCGGGGAGGGAAGCCCTGGTCACTCGGCCCCGCCCCTGGCAGTGTTCATCGTCAAGGACTGTGCGCCCGGGTGCTCATTCGCCGGGTCCTCATGAACAAGTTCTTTCAGTGGTCCCACTTAGCAGATGAGCAAACCAAGGCACCGAGGGCCTTGATCTCTCTTCCCCCCAACCTGCCCTGTCAGGTTCCCCGGCCCAGGGCCCCAAGCCCTGACGCTTACAGAGGCTAACACCTTCCAAGACATGCACCCCTGGGGCGTCTCTGCCAAAGCCCCTGGTGCCCTGCCCCCCATGACAGCCACACTGCTCCCCTGCCAAGCGTCCTGCGAGCGAGGTCATGCCGGGGCTCCCGCAGGAGAGGCCCAGTGGCCTCCACCGTGGAAACCCCACCCAGCACAGAGGTGAGGCGCCACCGGCCGGCAGGGACCTGTCACGGCAGGAGCTTTGGGCAGGCAAATGTGGCTGCTGCCCACCCTCTGCAGGGGCTGGGTGGGTGCAGGAGGTGAGAAGTGAGCAGATGGTCCGTTCGTTCAGGAAGATCCCAGCTCGGCCTGCAGCGAGGAGGATGGGTTGCAGCCGGGGTGGGGGAGGGAGATGAACTGGGGGCCAGCGGGGCATCCAGGGGAGGTGACTGCGGCTCAAGGCAGAGTGGTGGGGGCACAGGGCGGAGCAGGTGGCTGAGAGGGGCCGAGGAGGCTGCGGACCCCTCACCCTCTGCCGTCCGAGCCCAAGACCCTTGGAGGTCCCCCAGGCTTTGTGGCTTTCCTTCCCCCCAGCGCCTTTCCCACTCTGGGGGTCTCTCTGGCTCCCACCTTCAGCTCCTCCCCCACAGCGCCAGCGAAGGTTCAGCTCCCCTAGATTCTCTCCGGGCCAACTTCCATTGCGGGGTGATCGAGCCTCCAGTCCCTGAGCCCCACATCCAGCCAGCCAGGAGGCCCCACAGACAGGATGGCCAAGGGACAGCCCAGGGACAACTGGCCGTCTCTCCCTCTCCCCACTCCCAGGCCAGCCCAGGGTCCTCCCAGCCTGGACAACACCCTGAGCCCCTGAGAAGCCACAGCCTGAGGCCCACAGCCTGTTTCCAGAGCCACCTCTGGTGGCCCATCTGCTCACTCTCGGGGCTTCTTGGGGACCGGGAACAGGACCACGCCCGGCGGCCCTGCAGCCTTTGCCCAGCCAGCAGCAAGTACACCTGCTAGAGCTCACGTGTGCATGTGCACGCGCACACACGTGTGCATGCATGACCACAGGCACCCACATGAACACATGGGTGTGCACACACCAACACATGACACAGGCGTGAACACATACAGGCACACTTGCACACACAGGTGCATGCAAGACCGCAGGCACACACATGCACCCACATGAACACATGGGTGTGCACACACCAACACACGGCACAGGCATGAACACATACAGTCACACTTGCACACACAGGTGCGTGCGTGCACTCACACGCCCACCACACACACCCGCCTACGTGAACCAGTGGCTCCTGCAGCCAAGGTCCTTCCCAGGTCTCCCCTATCGCTCCCAGAGATCCTGTTCCAAACACCTCTCTTTCCTTCCTCCATGAAGCCCTCCCTGGTTTCCCGGTGGAGGCCAAGGCTCTCGGCTCTGAGCCCTCGCTCCCTGCTCTAGCGTGGCGGCAGCAGGGCTGGCGAGCACTGTGCCTGCTACACAGACGCTGAACACAGGACCTGACCCAGCGCAGGCGCCCAGTAAACGCTGCCGAGTGGCTATGGCCGGAGGCGTCCAGGACTGCAAAACTCGCAGGGCTGTCCGGGTGGTTCTGGGCCATCTCGGTGCTGCCATCAGAGCGGGCAGGGAGCAGACCCAGCGTCCAGCCCAGATGGCTCTCAGCTCCATCTCCCTGGGCAGAGACTCGGGGCCCCGCGCATTGTTAGGGCTGGGAGGACCACCCTTGGTTACACCTGGGGACACTGAGGCCCAGAGTGGGGAGACTTGTTCTGTATCACATGGGAGCTCAGCACAGACCCAGGGGCAGGACCCACCCCCTCTCTAGTCTGCTGCCCCCAACCACCTCCAAACCACGCACGTAGGCATTACACGGGCCGGGCTCCACGGTAGGCTCTTGACACACGGCAAAGTGCTCTAAGTATCCCCACATTCAGAGGAGACTAAGGCAAACACCCTGCTGGGAACCGGCCGGTGTGGCAGAGCCCAGCACCCAGGCCCTGTGAGCCCTCGGACACACCCTCGTGCCGTGACAGCCACGCGCGGTGAGCGTGCTCAGGTGACAATAACAACACCCGCCACACCCACAAGCGCTGGCCCTGGGCCGGGTGCACCGGCAGTGCGGGGCGAACGCTTCGCCTGCCCCCATTTCACAGAGAGGGAGACCGAGGCTCTAGGCCATGAGCTGGCCCAGGTCACATCCAGTTAGGGGCAGAGCTGCTCCCTGCCATTGTTACACGCTACACAGACCCTCCTCTCCCAGGCGCCGGTCCCAGAACCAGGGCCAACAGCCCCCACTCTGGGCAGTCGCCGTGTCCAGGTGCTGCCCCAGGGGTGGGCAGGAAGCCGGGAGGTACCTATGGGCTTGCCCTTGCTACCCACTGTCCCCACGGCAGGCTGAGCCCTTACTGTGGGTCCATCAGTGACGCAGGCCGTACAGCTGGGACCCTACAGCTCCCACTGCCCCTCCCACACTCCCACAGCCCTGCCCTGGGGACCCTGGGTGACAGGGCGACCCCACTTCTGGCAGAGCCCCAGAGGAGAGTGGGTGCAAGATCGCAGGAAGGTCAAGACCAGGCCACAGGCCAAGCTCGGCAGGGAGAGAACAGCCCCTGGAGTGGGCTCCCCTCCCGGGCAGGGGTGCAGAGCTTGTCAGGGCGAGGCTGCAGAGGGAGGCCAGGCTGGGAGCGCTCCGAGCCGCCTCCTTCCACGGGAAGGAAGCCAAGGCTCTGGGAGGTTGGGGAAGCTGCTCAGGTCACGGTCATAGTCGCGCAGCCCGGGCGAGAGCCCGCCTCAGACAAGGATAGGTAGAGCCAAACTCTGTCCCCACGGGCACTCACGTGCACTCCTGGGTGTGGTCCCTGCCCCCCCCCCACACACAGACACCAGACAGCCACACCATTCACAGCCAAAGACCCAGAGGCCACACCTCATTACACAGCCCTGCCGAGTTACCCAAATCAGTTACCCACGGAGCTCAGGGCGGCTCAAGCGCCGGCTGTCTGATTTGAAGGGGGAGGAGGAGGGAGGAGGAGAGAGGAGGAGGGAGGAGGAGGAGGAGGAGGAGGAGGAGGAGGAGCAGCAGCCGCAGCCCAGGTACTACTGGCTTCCCCTTTCTCAGCTGGTGACCTGAGGCACAGGTCAGCTTCGTGCCCAGGTTAGCGAGGGGACAGAGCTGGGCTCTGAGCCCAGTTTGGAGCCATCTGCGGCTCCACTGCTTGGTGGCGCGCAGGGGGAGCTGGGGCAGGACTGCCAAGCAGGAGCCCAGTGTGTCCCCCCAGCCTCTGACCCAGACTGGCCCGGCTCCCCTCACCCCTCACCCCCACACACACACAGCTCCCCTCGGGGCGCCTCCCGCTGCGTGTGCGGTGGTGGGGAAGGAAGACAACCCTTGAGGACGGCTCTGCCCCTCGGCACCCTCCCCCCCTGCCAGGTGCTCCCGTGCAGGGGAGTGTGCGAGCAGGGAGAGCCTCAGAGGTGGAGGCCTGTCCCCAGCACCGGGGGATGCCACTGACCCGTCCAGTCCCTCAGCCAAGAGACAAACCGGGGCTGGAAGCCGAGGCTCTGACCTCCATCCCAGGGCGGCCAGGCAGCCCCGCTCCCCCCACAGCCCGCACGCCGCCTCCGGAGCACTGTGCCCAGGGTGCCTCCCAGGCCCCAGCCCCCAGCGCTCAGCGGGCAGCTCCAGGTGGCTCCACACCGGGCCTCCCACCTCCTCCACCCCTCCAGGCCCAGCACACAGGGCCCAGGGAAGCCTTCACCCCAGAGTGGGACGGGGAGGCTGGGAAGAGGGTGCCTGGCCCTGGGGCCAGCTTGTTCTCCAACCAGGAGCTCCTGCACAGGGCTGCCCCACCTTCAGGGGAGTTTCAGACAAGGCTGAAACAAGGGGGGGTGATCCAGGGCCAAGCAGAAACTGCTGGGAGAGTGGGGCCAGAGCCCAGCATCCTCCCCAAGACCCCCCCACCCCGAGCCCCGTGGGGTCAGAGCCCAGCATCCTCCCCAAGACCCCCCCACCCCGAGCCCCGTGGGGTCAGAGCCCAGCATCCTCCCCAAGACCTCCCCCATCCCGAGCCCCTTGACAGGTGGGCAGGGGCCAGGAGGGGGCAGGAGGGGGCATCACCTGGCTGAGACATGGGGCTGCGGCACGCTCCCTCCAGTGCTCTCGGCAGTGGGGGCTGGCGCCATCTCCGGCTCCGGCCCAGGTAGCTGACGACGGCTGGGCCAGCGCAGACTGAAACCCTGGGGCCAGCCCACTTCCTGTGCAGAGGCTGGAGGGGCCAGGCCTGGCTGGGGAGGCGGGGAGACCGGGCGGGTGAGCAAGTCTGAAACTCCTGAAGCACCTATGGGTGATAAAGATCTGCCTCCCATGCTGGGGGCGGCTGCTGTGGGCGTAGTGGCGGCACAGCCCAGCCACTCACAGGTGGGGGCCTACGCACAGGAGCAGGGGCCGCAGCCTCCCCTACCGCCACCCCCATCTCACATAGGCCCCCCTCATCCGGTCAGCCCCGCCGACACCCAGGCCCGCACACACGTCCCCCTCAGCCTCATGCCAGCCTGCGGCACGCCCATCTCTGAGACCCCTTTTCACCCAGCCTTCCGGGAAGCTCCTTAGTTTAACATTCAGAGGCGACTAGTGATGGGGGCTTTGGGAGCAATCCGATGGCCACTCACAGAACATTCTAGAGGCTCCCGCTTTCTCCCCAGCCGTGGTTCCTAGTCTGCCCCAACCCGCTTTGTTTGGGGTCGTGGGGGATAACTCAGGGCTTCTCTCTCTTTCATTGGGGACTTAGAAGGACCTCTCTTTAGAAAAATGCACATCTATTTAGGAGCGGTGTCACAGGTCCAGGGACGCTGGGCGCGTCCAACCCAGGGCCAGGAGGGCAGCAGTGCTGGTCCCCTCTCCCCGCCTCGACAGCTCTGCCTCCTCCCAGAGGGCGAGGAGGAAGGGCAGGCAGGAGCCGGAAGGGCACAGGGATGTGAGGACGCAGGATTAGGCCCCAGGGAATTCTCAACTGCCTTGTGCAAACCCAGGAGGCCAGCAGGGGGGAAGAAGCAGGGGGCATCGTGGCCGCTCAGCAGCTGGGTGACCTTGGGTGACCTTGGCCACCCTGTGCTTTAACTTCCAGACCTGTCAAGCAAGGGGACAGCAGCAGCTGCTTTGATACGTCCGGAGGTGTGTGTACAGGACCCAGTGTGGCCACACATAGTAGGCTCGCAACACAGGACGGTTCCTCTGGACAAGCTCCTGTGTCGGAAACCACACACGCACAGTATTCGGAGGTTCGGACCAGATGAGGTGTGGCATGGGGCGCCCGCACGGCGCTAGTGGCTTCGTGAGAAGAGCAGGGGAGACTGGAGCCGGTGTACCTGCTCTGGCCGTCCACGTGACGCCCTCCGCCAGGTGACGGCGTAGCGAGAGGCCTCCCCAAGGCCGGTGCCGTGTCGTGGACTTCCCAGCCACAGAGCCTCTGATGTCGCTCAGTGGGCCTGCCTGTGGGCCCGGCGCAGCCGCAGCGCAGGGCCCGAGCCCCCGCCTCAGCCCACGCCCCTGCTCCAGGAACGAGGGGGTGCCGAGCACGGCTGTGACAGTGGCGATGACAACAGCCAAGATTCATGCAGCTTGAATATTCCTGGAAGTCTTATGAAACCAGGAATGCTGCCTCCAGGGCCATGGGCAGGGCGGGGCAGGGGGGAGAGAGTGGGAAGGCTGTGTCAGAATCTATTTCCTTCTCCCAAACAAATGAGTTCAATTTAAACTCTTAAAATCATAGGAGAAAAGAGCGCACTCCCAGGCATAGACAGAAGGCAGGGGCCCGGCCAGCAGCAAGTGGCTGCCGTGCGCCGGCCCCATAGTGCTGCCCAGGACCCCTGCTCCTCCATCCTGCTTGCCCTCTCACAGGCCTGCCGCCTGGCACCGGGGAGGGAGCGGCCTCTCCCCTGCAGCCTGTAGAGGCTGCTGGAACCAGGGTGGGGCAGCGGGGTGCGGGGGTGGGGGAGAGAGGTCAAGAGAGGTTATGGCCAAGGGTCCACGTGGGCGCATGCCAACCCGGGGTGGGGGGTAAACCTGTGCACGGTCTCTGCTCCCTCTGCAAGAAACCTCCCCCTGGAGGGGCACATCCACACACACACAGCCCTGAGTGAGGCCAGTGGACGTGGGAGGACGTGACGCTCTATCTCTCGGACTACAAATCCCAAGATTGGGACAGGTATCTGGCCTACCGGTTAAGCGGCCGGCTGGGACACCTCCACCCATTAGAGCGCCTGGGTTTGAGTGCTGACTCCGTTCCTGAGTCCAGCTGCCTGCTACTGCACACCCTGGGAGGCAGCAGGCGACGGCCCCAGTGGTCGGGTCCCTGCCACCCACAGGGGAGACCTGGATCGAGATCCGGGCTCCTGGCCCAGCCCCAGCTGTTGTGGCCATTTGGGGAGTGAGCCGGTGGATGGAAGACCTCTCTCTGTCTCTCAAAGTAAAAGCACCACCTTTGACCCTCCTCTGTCTCTCTCCTCCCCCTACCCTGCCCCCCTGAGCCCCCGTCTGCCCCTTCTTTGGCTGCATCTCTTTCTTTCCACTCCCCTCCCCACTCTCCTGCAAGAATCCAGAACAGGACTTTGAAGCCTGGCGCGAGGGCTGGGGTGGAGGCAATGGAGCAGCTCCCTCCAGCTCGGCCTCCCTGCGCTTGGTCAGACTGCCCTGCCCAGGCGGGGCCTGCTCCTGCCCTCCCATTTCACAGGCAAGGAAACTGAGGCTCCAGGTCACCCTGCCAGGCTGTGGCAGAGCCAGCCTTGGAGTCTGGGTCTGACCCACAGGAAACCCGAGGCCAGGAGGCTGACAGGGCCACGCAGACCTGCCCAGCCCCGCATCTCAGGAGTGCCAGGGGCCAGACGAGCTGCTCCAGCCAGCCCCTCCCCTCCCAGCACCCAAGCCTGAGCCCCTGCACCCTTCACACCGTAGCCTGCCCTCCCACTGCGTCCCCACGCAACCCTGCGGGGAACCAGCCAGCCCTGCACCTCTGGAGATCACAGACATGGTCCCCCAGCTCAGCGGCCACTGACCCTGGCCCCTACCCAACCACCCGCCTTCCACAGTGGCCAAGGGACGAGTGCACCATGAAGTCCCCTGACCCTGATGGCCCTTCCCGGCTGTGACCGGTCCATCCCATGGCTGCCTCTTAGGGGGCCGAGCCAGGCTCAGCCCTGGGAGTCCCAGACTCCACCTGCCTGGCCCCTGCCCGGCCACTTTTCCCCATGTTGTTTCACAATCCCCTCTCCGCTCCTGGGAGATGCCCCGAGCCACACGCAGCCTGTAGATTCCTGTGCTGTCTCCTCCACAGCGAGCCTCTGTCCCCCCTGCACCTGTGCCCACGCTCGGCCCACGCGTGGACCTCGTTGTCACCCTGAGGCGAGTCCTGGGCCCCGGCCACGAGGGCAGTGCCAGATGTCTGACTCCCTGCCGGTGCCCACTTCACAAGGAACGGAGACACAAGGGACAGGCACAGTGGAGGGAGCAGAGCCCGACCAGAGGGAGAACGAGGCCTGGCACCTGCGGCCCTGCAGGACTCCCTCGCCCCCTCTCACCCCCGGCGCCTCTCCGCCCTTCCTTGGGGGCCCCCGCCCGTCCCCCAGCCAGAGGCCCCTTCCTGTCCCTCACTCCTCACCTTGGCGCCCTCCTCATTCTCACCTCTGCTTTGTAGGTCAGTCACCTCCTCGCCAACCGCCCACACCTGAATCCTCCCATGCTCTCCCGTGAGCCTCTGCGAGCCGCCTGCATCTTCGGCCACAGCAAGCACCCGGGCGCTTCCCGTTCGTGCAGACCACGCTGCTCGACGCAGTCATTCCCTGTCCTGCTTCCTCGTCAGGACCACTCCAGGGTCACCAGCTGTGCCACTCTGCCCGGGACCCAGTGGGTTCCCGGGACATGGGATCATCAGGGCTAGGACCAGGACAAAGCGGGTCACCTGCTCCCTACCCGCTCGTCCCCAGACGAACTCAGCCCCCCTCCCCCCGATTGCTCACTAAAGCCAAGGCAGAGTCCAGACACACACTGGCACCTGCATCTCGCGTGCTCACCTTGCTCCTGGGTCTGCAGCAAAGGTTCCTTGAGCAGTTCCCCGACACGGTTCCAGAAATTTAACCTGGCAGAGAAGGAAGTGGAAGGAGAAAGAGGAAGAGCCAAAGCTTCCGAATGTCTAACGCCCCAGCAATTCCCGATAGTGCAACCAACCAACCGCCCTGGGCGCAGCTCACCGGCACCTTCCAAGGCAGTTTGCAGAGGGTGAGTCACCTTGCCGGAGCGGCTTAAACCGGAACCTGCCCTCTGCAAGGCCACCTGATGACACCACCAAGTCTCCGGCCCCGGGGGCAGGTGCAGCCACGCTTAAAGCACATCCGATAGGGAGAGCCACGTAGGGGCTGTGTGTCCAAAGCGACTCGGGAAGCCGTGTCCTGACCCGGGCCAAGTCCCAGGATGTGTGAGTGCGGTGACGGAAGCACAGCTCCGCGCAAGGCGTGTGTCCCCTCCTGTGTGGTAGCGGGAGGTGTGAGCGTGCACTGGGCACATGGGGCAGGAGCCACGAGACACAGCACATGGCCCAGGCCTCCAGGGAGAGGAGCTGGGAGACCCAGGCGGCAGCGGCAGGCATGATCTTTCCTGTCGTCTGAACAGTGCTTCCTGGGAACGTAATCCTACTCGGGAAAGGAAATGCAATTAGAACTGAAGCTGAAATAAAAAATGCGGCGCTTTTGCAAGGAACGGGGCTCCCCTCCACGGTTCCCGAACCTCAGCCCTCCTGCCGCCCCATCACTTTCTTTTTTAAAAGATTTATTTTTGAAAGAGTTACAGACACAGAGAGGGAGAGGCAGAGAGAGTGAGGTCTTCCATCTGCTGGTTCACTCCCCAGATGGCCACAACCACCTGCGCTGGGCCAGGCTGAAGCCAGGAGCTTCCTGCAGGTCTCGCACGTGGGTGCAGGGACCCAAGCACTTGGGCGCATCAGCCGGGAGCTGGATCAGAAGTGGAGCGGCCAGGACACCAACCGGCGCTCATACAGGATGCCCTTGCTGCAGGTGGAGGCTTAACCTGCCAATGCCAAGTACTGGCCCTGCCTCTCCCCGCCCCCTCCAGTCTCGCCTCTCTCCCAAGGAGCATGCCCAGTTCCCAAGGTGTCAGGTCTGCAAGACTCCCGGCCACCCTCCTCACTGCGATGACGGAGCCCAGGGAGGGACACATTTCGTCCACAGTCTCAACCCTGGTCAGCAGCCTGGCCGGCCGCTGCTGCGGGTCTCCTCCCTGCCGGGCAGGGGCCCATGGTGGGGGGGGGGCGC